ATAGATTGAAAACTACAATGACATGACCGAACCCAAATTCTATTTTGGAATCAGCGCCGAACCTTGTGCGTATCCGACACCTGGCAGATGCCGAGCACACTTGACCAAAATGCCCTTATAAGTTTCAAAATTCTTTTTCAAGTTTGACTTCTGCTGAAAATTCGGCAGAGTCTCCCCTGTAAAATGCTCATTCCCCAAAATTTTTTATTTGTACAAACTCAATTATAATATTCACAATCTTCAGCAGGCAATACACAAATAATTTTGAATGGCCTCAGGCCTCAATGAATCAAGTAAAACATTTCACCCTCTAAAGGGATCAAGCCATATGTAGTTCTTCCACTTATTATATTTGCACACAAGTAGGCTACTCAAAGAATTTCCTCAAACCCATGAATCAATTTATATTTTACTTGCATAAATCATATGCAAAAACAAACAACTCATAAAGCACTTTTAAAAACCATTCATTCCTTGCCTCATAAAATCAAAAAAATAGGTATTAAAACTTTTACCCAAAAATACCAAGATAAAATCCTCAATTTTAGTTTAAACCTCTTAAAACCCAAATATTTCCCACCTAGGCGTACCCCCATTCATATTCCGTTTCCAAGTCCTTTCTCAACTTTCCAAAAATCAGTTCTCAACTACCTTTGAATTTACATCACATACTGTTGAGAACTAGTGTCCATAATTCATCATTTTCAACTACTGAGTATATATATTGAATATAACATGCACTTAGATATTTAATTAATTTACCAATCACATCGAAATCTGATTAACAAACCATTCCATTCCGATACTATAATAATAATCTTAATAGCAATAGATAACTAAATAAATAAATAAACAAATAAATAAATAACTAACCACAACCCCTAGAGATTTCATCACTACCAATAATACATAATCTTCAAATAACAAAATAATATATAGAGATATTCACAATTAGCGATATATATATATATATATATATATTCATTCCATAATCATATACATCCATAATAGATTGCATGGTAATATAATCAATGAAAAGTAATAACCTTTAAAGAAAATCCCATATCGAATCAATTTCCAATCTAAACTCAGTATGCAAGAAATTCCATACTAAAAGAACTACGTACTCTTAAAAACAAATGTCCATTGATTTACTAATAATCATAGCCGAGCTCAAGGCTCACTTTCACAACCCACCAATTTGATATTCCAAGCTCGCCCAATTCATAACTTCAATTATCAATATAATATCCAAGGATTTCCATAAGATACTATAACAATCTCTTAATCCCAACATAATCAGAATAACTCAACTACCGGTTAAGACTTGTTTACATGGTCATTCTAGTACTTCTCGAAGGGTAAAACTACCTTGGAAGACTCACGGTCAACCGAGGGGTCAAACTGTCCAAACTTGGTCAATCGGGCCCGCGGGGCCCACGACCTCCGATTCCCGATCCGGAAGTTCCTATAGATCAACAACATTTAGGATACACGTACTGCAAGATTGGTTCGAATCAAATGATCGGATCGCTCGCGATCGCACAATCAGACGGTTATCGTTTAACACAAACTTTAAGTTATTAAATCAGAACATCCGGAGCTCCGATTCACAATCCGCGAAATCCTACACAATCCTAGGAATGCCTAGATCAACATATACTAAATTGGAGTCGATCCAACGGTTCGAACATATCAAACCCAAATAACGCCTAATATGCGATATCCGATCGACGATCAAACGATAACCAATTTCCTATCCGAGCATACCGTCGTGCTTGGGACGACATGAAGATGATTTTAGGACTCAAGGACTAGCCAAAAAGTGGCCCAAGCGCCGCCACACGCGTGGGTGTCCAAAGCGATTATGGCGATTGGAAAATCTCCAAACCGCCGATCAAGACTTATACCTACGTGATCACCATATAGAGTGGAGCAACTTTTGTTCTTGGACCTATCCCAAAAAGTCGACGGAAGTTGCTGGAATCGGAGGTTGAAAACCGGCCAAACTATTATCGCTTAATTACCCACCAATACTCAAAAATTTCTCCGAAATATCACAACCAACAGCTAGAACACCTCGAGAGGATAAGAAAGCATACTTGGATCGCAAGATTTGGCTGTCGGAATCACCCTAATGAGCTTCCGAAAAATTACATAAAATCTGTCAAAAACCGGCCAGATTTCTTGAATTTTCGGCGGCCTGGTTGAGCGGTGGAGGTGGCGACAGGGTGGGGCTGGAAGAGGAACTCACGGCGGTCCTTTTGGGACCGGTGCTGCCCCAAGTGGCGATTGTGGTGGCTCTTAGAGCCATCGCCTGGAGAAGAAAAAAAACGAGGGGGAGGGGGCTTGCGACGAGAGAGAGAGAGAGAGAGAGAGAGAGAGAAATCAGGTTTTAAAAAAAAAAAAAAAATCCCTTTTCAAAAAATTTACGATTTTGCCATTGGACTATTTTTTATCATAACTTCTTCGTTACGACTCCTATTTGAGCCCACTAAGTGTCTATGGACTCATTTAAGCGTGCTCTACGTAACGGTACAACTGAAATTCCCAAATTCTTTCCCGGACAAAAAGTCAATTTTTAAAGCTTTAAAATATTCCCGGAGTAAAATTGTCTTTTACTTGAATACTTGAATAATTAAGTATTAATTTAGAATTGGGTTATTACATGCAATCAAGTTTACCTTGAGAGGTAATAAAGTAAAAACACCTAAGATTCTTTATTGCCTCTTGATCAAAGTACAAAGAGATATGAGATACTTTTTCGTGTATGAGAGAAAAGAAAACGTAGGGCTATTTTGTTAGGCCAAACAAAAGCCAAAGAATAGGGTTTAAGATTAATTGGTAAAATTCGACAATAAAAAAAAGGTAAAGTAGGCAAAGAGAATGCAAGTGAGGTGAAGATATATTATTAAATAAAAATATGTATTTTTTTAATTAACTTATTATATTAAAGTCAGCCCAAAAAGGTTGGACTAATATTAAACAAAGGCAAGTCACAATGTTCGGCCAAAAAAAAGAAATAAACAAAGGCAAGTTTGGTAGACTAAAATTTTTGGGGAGTAGAAATAGCTTATAAAATTTGGACCCCCTTTAGTTTTCTACAGATTTTGCACTGGGCTACAGCCCACTTAAGCCTGTGAACAGTACACTGGGAAATAGTACATGAGATAAAACTTTTTTCTAAATTTCTTTAAATAGATAAGAAATGAATTTCTCAAATTTCAATTTAGATATACAGTGATGAATGATGACAGTCTCACTTTTAAAACAGGTTGATATATTCACAAAACAAAATATTAATAGAAATTTAAAAAAAAAAAAGAAAAAAAAAAAGCTGGGTCTGTGTATTCTCACTCTTATTAGGATGAGGCTTTTGCTGCCAACCATCCATCCAAGATAAAACGACATCTCCAAACTGTGCCCTTCTTATTTTGATATTAGCCTTGGAGTTTGAGAGATAACCAGACATACACATAGAGATAACGCAGGCAGAGAAACATGGCATTGAGAATGTGGGCTTCTTCTACAGCCAATGCACTCAGAATCTCTAGTGCCTCCAAAGCCCACCTCTCTCCTGCATTTTCTTTTTCCAGATGCTTTTCTTCTGGTAATAAACACTCCTCTCTTCAACTTAATACTCTATTTCAAGTGAATGGGTTCTTAGTTTCTTTACATTTGTATGAACTGGTGACAAATTCAGCAGTTTGTAGGGTTACAGATTATAGAATGGCCTAGCTTTTCACCAATGCATGCATTTTTTCATTTTTAATGCTGTATTTTGGTTCCGATGTTCTTCTTTAGTGGTTTGGGTAACATTCAAGTTTTTAAAGTTATGCAAATGATTTGGATTTATTTTTTATTATTTATTTATTTATTATTGCTGCTAAGTTCAAAAGAATTGTAATTTTGGGAGTGATGTTGGATTTGCAGTTCTGGAAGGGTTGAAGTATGCATCTTCACATGAGTGGGTGAAGCATGAAGGCTCAGTTGCAACAATTGGTATCACTGATCATGCTCAGGTTAATATTAAATAATATACACATCTCCATTTCCACTTGTCTGTGAAAAAAAGAAAAGAAAAAGAAGTTAACTTGGTCCAAAAAATTCCCTATTGGACCTGAAGTTTGAAATAGCCCAGAGAGTGAGTGATGTAGGTGAAGTTTTGTTTCAGGACCATCTTGGAGAAGTTGTGTTTGTTGAGCTGCCAGAAGCTGGTCGCTCAGTCTCTGCAGGTGCCAGCTTTGGAGCTGTGGAGAGTGTCAAAGCAACCAGTGATATAAATTCCCCAATTTCTGGTGATGTGGTTGAGGTTAACTCAAAGCTTACTGAATCACCTGGTTTGGTAATTAATCTTCCTTTCCACCTTTACACTTTTTACCAAAACAAAGCTACCCTTCTTTGAAATGCATGTTATAATTGACCGGTTGCGTACTCTCAGATAGTTTGCCATGTTATATTGTTAAACCGTTAATTTGAACTGATGCCATTATTTAAACTGTACACAAGTATACAGTTTTTATTTATTTAATAAATTTAACTTTCTTTGGGTGTGTTCTATATTGAAGATCAATTCAAGCCCATATGAAGATGGATGGATGATCAAGATTAAGCCCAGCAATCCATCAGAAGTAGAATCCTTGTTGGGTGCTAAAGAATACACGAAGTTTTGTGAGGAAGAAGATGCCGCCCACTAGAATTTGAACATGCAGGTCCCAATGATCTTGAAACTAACTGGTTTTCAGATGTTTAAGGTTTAATGTTTGATAAGTTGTCATATATTATGAAAGTACTCCGGGCTCTAAGTTCAATTTGCTTTGCTTATGTCCCTTTCTGTTGTACTATGTATCATCTCTCCACCTTTTGTCTGTACTTCATGTGAATTAAGGTTCATACGAATGTTTTTGGACAAAAAAATAAGGGATAAAAAAGAATTAAGGTTCATTTCACATCGATGGCTATTAGTCCTCTCATTTCTCACACTATATAGCCAATAACTATTTGATTTAGTGACACTGAATATCCATTATTTTGAAGTAGATTTCGAGTTCAAATCTAATGAAAGGCAAATAAGCACAAAGCAAAAAATAGAGAAAAAAATCCATTAACTTTCAGTTTATACTGATGACGATGGAAGCTTCTTAATTTTTGCAAGGCAATTGTCTTTAGGACTTGTATGAGGTAAGTATCTCACTCCACATGCCGGATTGAGTCGTTCAAGCCTGCACTCGAAAATTTCAAAGGTCAAAGACTATCTATTATATTTACAGATCAACAAGCATTTCGTTTTGTGCCATCCATATGTAAGGTCATTTTTTTATGAAGCACTGTCATTGTGACACATGAACATGGATAAAATAATAGTATGATGACAAGAACATTACAATGGCAGGACTTAAAAAAGAAGAGATGTGCATAATTCGAAACTACACAAAAGCATACATATTGTTAATGTATTTTTAATTGTTACGGTCTCGGAACTTGTACTTAGGTGACAATTTCATTGATATGACTGTCAATTTAAAGGATAGAACTTTTAATTTATGTACAAATCACTGCTAAAACGACCTACCTATTTTGACGGCCGCATTGACAATAAGTTACAAATTTAGGGACCATTGCAATTAAGAACCCTATTGTTAACATTTGCTTAAACCAAATTTACAATACAATAAAACTCTTTGATTTGATATCTTACCTGCCATATATGCCGTTTCTATTGGACATACACAATATAACTAAAACTCTTGGATTTGAAATCTCACCTTTCATACAAGTCATTCCATTTGGACATGTGAATTTAAAATGAGGGATTCAAATCCTACATCTTATAAATCCAAATGTCCAAATGGAACCTTACAGATTATATTCAGGAGACTTTGAAGTTAGTTGTTTCAAAGAAAAGTGGAAAGAAAGAACAAATGGAAAGCAAGGAAACTCACTCATAATGAAGGAGAAAATAGTGAAGAAATATAGAAATTTCAAGCTTGGTCAAATCACTTCCAGGGCATAGCCTACTTCCCATTCCAAAGGGAATGAAAGTCCCTGCCTTGCCTTTATTTTCCTACAAAAACAAAATAAACAGTAAAAAATCCCACATCTTGTATCACATGCATTTGCTATTAAAAATTACATTCAATTATGTGCATTTTCTGGCGTACATTCCATCTTGAGGGATTAAACTCCTTTGGATCCGGATAATAATCTGGGTTCAAATGAACACCTCTGTACCACATCATTACTTTCCAGCCCTTTGGTATTGTATAACCTTGAAAGCAGATCATCTTCTAGTAAGTTTCTTTCTGTACAAGAAACAGAGAAACAAGAAAGGGAGAAAGTAGATAAATTTACCAGAGACGTTCACATCAGTTGCAGCCTCCCGATAGCCATACAATGAGACGTTAACCACGCGCAGTGTTTCGTCGATTACCTATTGTCAAAATATGTTACTCCAATTTCTATTAGCTGTATAGATAGTTGAAGTTCAAATCTGAGGGCAAGATTTGGGTATCAAAGGAAAATAAATCACCCTCCCTTTGTGCAGCATTTGAAATTAGTGGTCTCACTTTGAGCAAGAGTTTGCATTGTACCTAGAATTATTTCTAGGATTCAATAGTACTTCTTGTACTTATGATGATAAATCAATATTTTGCAATCTCCCCAAGAAAAGAGTAAGCATTTGCTATAACATAAAATATCTTCAGGGTGTTAAAATTAGACACAGAAAACATACCTTAGATAGATATTCCATCTGTTTAGTTCCTTTAAAGTTCAATCCCTCTTCTGGTGATGATTCCCTTTTAAGAATCTCCACTTGCTCTGCCTGAAACATTATAACAACTAGAAATTGGCCTCCAAAAATTTGAAACGAAACCGGGAAAATTTAACCAAACAAATGGAAGTCCATTTTTAGTTCTGCAGCATGAAGACTAGTAAGAATGTTCAAATGCATCAAACCAGTATTGATATGCACCCACCTTGGCTTTTTGGTAGTATTCTGGATGTTCATTTAAGAAGAGAGTAGCCCACAAAGTGGCATGGGCTGTAGATTCATATCCAGCATTCAAGTACATGAGAATTATGTCTATTATCTCCTCATCATCTAATGTTTTACCGTTCTCATCTTCAACTTCCATTAACAAATCCATCAAATCTGTTCTTTCCCGTGATAGATTATTCTCTTTTCTTGCCCTTCTTCCATCTACAACATCTTGAATAATCATAGCCATCTTTTTTCTAGCCTGATACATGCAACAATGTAATTATGAAGTCCAGTTTGAAAGGAAAAAAAGAAATTAACTCAAATGAAGAAATCTATTTAGTATAATCTGACCTTGAGCGCTTTATGAAAAGCGAAGCCAGGAAGGTTTATGGCCATGGCTCTTAGTCCATGATTGAGAATAGCATATTCTTTCTCCATGGTCTCCATCATTGGACCAGTCTCACAGCTCAAGAAAATAAACATGATTATTTTAAAAGTTATCTTCCTAATCTCAGTCAAGAACTCAATAGGCCTATCTGCTTTGGCCAATTCATCCAATGAACTTACTATGGCATCCTTAATGTACTCATGGTACATAGACAATGCCTTGTGACCGCTGATCGGGGCTGCTGTCAGCCTGCGAAGGCGTTTGTGTTCCTCTTCAGAAAGGCTCATAAATGATTTCCTTCCCATTAAATCGGAAGTTGATTTTGGCCAACCAGTCTTAAATTGTAAACTATCCATCAAGACCTGCCTACATGTTTCAGGTGCTGTAACAATTATGGTTGGCTTTCCAAACAAACAGGCCTTGTAAATTCCTGTGCTGCCATACCTGGTACCAACAGAAAAGTTTAGCATATATTTCTCATCAGATAGTTTCAACTTTGAGTTACAATGGGAGAGAGAGAGAGAGAGAGAGAGAGAGACCTTTTGACGTAGTTGGAGATGAAAGAATCAGGATCATCAGATTTTAAAGCCTTGAGGAAAGACAAGGTGTTGCCAAGGAAAGGCCAGCCCATGCCACCTGGAGGCAGAGTCTTCTGCCTTTCTCCTAATCTGCTCACAAAATACCATTCATTTGCTCTCCTTAGGATCAAAAGCAAAGCACCAAACCCACCAATTGAAGCTGTGAAAACCAAACTCCAGAAACCCAACTCCATTTTCCACTTTTCTTGGATTTACAGGCTTTTAGACAAGTGACTGATTGAGCTAACACCAACCTTTTATCTTAGTAGAAATTTTGGACTCAAGTTTGGGTTTTGCATGTAGAATTTGACCTTATGCTCTCTGAAATACCAAAGCATCTCTCAACAGCATCTTTGAATGACAACAAAAAAATTATGAATGAACCTAAAAGGATCATGCACACAGAATTTGACCATACTATGTAATTAAGATTATAAAACGAAAAAGTGATCCCCTATTTTAGCTTACTATACTCTACCTTCTTATTAATTAAACGAGAAGATATATTTCTGCTTTTGTAAACCACCATTGGAGAACAAATGCCACTAAAAATGTGACACAAGTTATTTATTAATTATTTTTTTATTTTTATACATACAATATTCTACTTTAATTTAATCCAAACTAAGAGGAGGGAGATATGAAATCGGGTGCAGGGTAGAGAGCAAATCCGCTCAAACCAACTTGGAAAAGTAAAATTAAAGTAATTTGCATTTATCAAAAGAAAGAATGCATTCAACAACTAAAAAAAAGTGAGAGAGAAGATCAAACTCATTTCTTTACCTCAATTAACAAACACAATCCTAGAATACACCATCCATGAATTTAAATGAAGCAAGTTTACATCCCATAAATTAAAAAGTCCACTAGCTCCACGAGTAAATATTTATTATTATACCAAAGGAAGCAAGTTTTGGCCTTATATTTTCAGGTTATGTAGATGGCCATGGAAGCTTCTTAATTTTTGCAAGGCAATTGTCTCTAGGAGTTGTATGAGGTAAGTATTTCACTCCACATCCCGGATTGACTAGTTCAAGCCTGCACTCAGAAAGCACAAAGGTCAGAAACAATGTAAGGAAGCACTTTTACATAAAGCACTGTCACTGTGTGACACATGAACATAGATAAAATAATAGTATATAACCAGGACATTGCAATGGAAAGGACTTAAAAAAGAAGGGACATGCATAATTTGAAATGATTAGAAACAATGTACGGTTGAAATTTAAGTTCTTTTGAATCTATACAAATGCATATATGTTGTTAATGAGTTTTTAATAGTAAATTGAGCTTAGACCCATAAAATTCATTTTAAATCACCTACAACCCTTTCCTTTAGTTTTCTATTTAAAATACCCAATTTTTTCAAATAATACCCGATGACTAGGATCCAACTAAGCAAGTTACCTAATATAACTTAAAATCTGATTTATTGTATTTTTCGGATTCCAAAACTACCCCTATTTATGACTTAATGTGTTATGGGGGGTGTAACTAATGACACACGTTGAATTTGAAAATATCACCAAATGGTTGTAATGGATGTAAGAATTAATTTAGAAACTTATTTGAAATTAAATATTAAATTCAACATTAATGTATTAGTAATGTATTTTACGACTAGTAATCTATTTTTGAATTAATGTTGTTTTCCTTTTATGAATTACGACTAGTAATCTATTTAACGTATTAGTCATTTAAATTCAATATTAAATTTAGGAATTAATGTTGTTTTCCTTTTATGAATTATACGACTAGTATTCTATTTTATTATAGTTTTATGAATAATAGTGTACATTCTAATTATGTT